TAATTTATGTTAATTCACATGATAACTGTTCAGCTGTCTCAGGAAAATTAATGATATTGTACCTATTCACACAGAATTCTAAGATTATATATTGCTTTTTCTACATCATGCAGGCAATAGTTTTAGAAGTGGTAGCTGTGTTAGTCTGTGCAAGCATATCAGGCCAAATCCAAAGAAACAAAACAAAAATATTTGGATTTGGCCTGATATATTTGAATCCGAGGTGTGGCCTCTCGGTGCCTTTGGACTGCAAACCCCAGAATTCCCTGGGGTTAATTCTGGAATCGCCCCAGGAATTCTGCAGAATGCAATTTAAAACCAGAGGTGTACCCCTGTAATTTTAATTGAACCCGCGCCGCCTCTTGAGGGGCAGTTTAGAAATGGAAGCATGTTATTTTGGCGAGTTTTTTTCTGCATTCCAGTTTGAGCCAAAAAAAGAAACCTCCTCTTTTTTTGCCATGAACTCTCATTTGACCGAGATCTTAGTCCCACCGCAAGTCCGGTTTTACAATACGGAGATAATGCCATTCAAATTCCTTAAGGTCGAATGATATCTGCTGTCACAGCACGAGCTTTTCAGAAATTTGTCTGGAAAAAAATGAACTTAGAAACCTCACTCTCTCTAAAAGGTATTCTTTGCCACGATTGATTTAATTATGGGAGTGATTCTTTGAAAAAATAATACCCCATTTTCATAAGATTTGTTGAGGCGTTAAGGGGTCCCAGAAAGGGCCAAAACATGTGTGCATCTGGTCACCGGATCCTTGGCAGCGTTCCCCCCCCCTCCGGTGATATAGGACAAGCTGGGGTCTCAAGGTGGCTTGGATGCACCCACCGTATGGGTTTCAAGGAGACCGAAGGTTAAAAGCCCAGCCTCTCTTTTTTTGCAATCTGTCTGTGCAGTAAGTTGGACGAAGAATACAAGGAGCGCGTGGCCGCCCTCAAAAACGAGCTTCAGAAAGACTGGGAGCAGATCCAGCAGCAGGCCAGCAAGCAGCAGGCGGAGCTGGAGCAAGAGGTGGAGCAGCTGAAGAGGGAAGAAAACTTCCTCCGGGACCGCCTGGCGCTGACGCTCAAGGTGAGGTGGGGCCGAACGAGGAGCCAGGGTGGATGGTCACCCAGCAGGAGCAAAACGCCATCCATTCCAGAGGTGGAGTGCATCTCTTTGATTGCCTGGAGCACGCCGCAGGTCCCTTGTTCTTCCCGTGCAATGTGACGCCCGGGAAATAGAACAAACAGAGGTGAGTTTTGCTTAGGGTGAACCATGGGCGCCCCCCCTCCCCGGAGCCCAGGACCTCCAAATATTTGAAAGGTGTAAAAGGGCTGGGGTCCAAGATCTCTCAAGGATCCCCTCTCCCCTTAAGGAGCCTGCTCAGGTATTAAGATCATCAGGAGACGCCTTCCTCTCGGTCCCACCACCTTTACAGAGGCACCTGGTTGGGACATGAGAAAGGGCCTTCTCTGTGGCTGCTCCCAGAGACTCTGGAACTCCCTCCCACTGGAGGCCAGCTTGAACCCATCTTAGCTGTCCTTCTGCAAGCTGGCAAAGACCTCTGTCTTCAAGCAAGCTTTCCTTTATTTACTGGCTGCCTGATTGGGGCTCTTTAATGGATTCTTGTGCCTTACTTCTTTGAATGTATTTTGATGTCACTTCTGTTTACCATCTTTGACTGTGATACTTGTTGGTTCCTTTCTAGTATCTGTATCCTTATAGGGTTTTTTTTTGGGGGGGGTTGTTGTTGTTTTTTGGGGGGGTTGGCTTTAAATACAGTATTATATTCGGATGATGCAACCCACCTTGGCTCCTTCTTAAGTTGAAAGGCGGGGTAGAAACATTTTAAATAAGTAAATAATAAACATTATTTTTGAAAACAATTGCCTCAAAATGTCTTCCTACAGTTTGGAAGGGGCAATTCTGACATGTTTTTTTAGAGAGGCCTGCCCCACCATTTCGACCACCCCACCCCGATATTTCCCCCAAATGTGAGGGCAGAAGAGCTTTTTTATTTTTAATTAAAATACCCAATTTTTGTAAGGTTTTGGGGGTTAAAGGAATGGCTACTACAACCCTCCAAGGTTCAGGGTGGACATGGGCAAACCCTAGATTTTTGGAGGTGATCCACCAGAGTTTAGATGCTGGACATAAACCAATGCCGTTTTTTTCTCCTTGGGGAGGATGCTGAAGAAAAAATAATATTTGATTAAAAAGGTGAGGTGTCTCTTTCTGCCGGGCTGTGCTATCCTATGGCTACAGACCCTTCAGCGGCCATCATGACCCCATTCACAAAATAGCCGGTTCATTAGATTTTAAACTTAGACACAGGGCCTTTTAGCAAAACACCCAGATTAAATATTTTAGAGGAGTCTAGCAGTAAATGAAAAATCTATTCCTTTAGATTTTGAAATAAAACATGTTAACCATTGCTTACGTTAATAAAGCTGGAGATCGGTTTTGGAGAAGCCACTGAAAGCTGCCAAGCCAATGAGGTGGGTTTGGTTCAATGCTTCCCCTTCTCCTGGGCCTCATTCCCCCATCTTTGGGACATCTTTCCGTAAAGAGTTTGACCGTTTCTATTTTGTTTTCTCTCATCCCCGGGTGTACAGCTCCTCTTTAGAAGAGGTAGCCCAGTTAGTCTGTGTTAACATGTCAGGCAAAAAAAAAAAAAAAACTCAGAATTTTTTTAAAAAAGAAGACAAAAACGATGTGGCACCTTACAAATTAACTGCTATCTTTTAATGTGAGTTTTTGTGGACAAGTCCACGTCTCCAGACTTATCCTTGAAAGCTCACGTCAAAATATAGCAGTAAGTCCTTAAGCTCCTCTTTAGAGGGTTCCAAGATCCTGGGTCTGTGGGTTTATCTGGGAAATGGCAGCCGGCTTTATTTATTTGCGACGGGGTCTGTCTGGGTGTGTCAAGACCCTTTTGCTTCCTTTTTAGGAGAATGGTCGCTTAGAAAGGGAGCTGGAGGAAACCGGAGAGAAGCTGTTGAAATATGAAAACATGCTGAGCAAGCTGCAGAAGAACTGGGAAAGCGTCCTAGCAGAAAAGGCAAGTTGTCGGTTGTTAACTAGTCTTAGGGAAGGCTCAGATAGAGCAGTGGTTCTTAACCTTTGTTACTCTGATGCTTTTGAACTGCAGTTCCTCAGATAGAGGAATAGCATGTGGCCCTGTTCTGTTTTAAGCTGTTTTGGAGGCAATCACGCAGCATTATGAATTTCTGGTCAAATTCCCTTTCCTACGCAGCAGAAGTACAGAGATCTACAGAGCAGAATAGTTTCCAGTCCTCCAAATTAGACCACTCCTTTCTCTCTCTCTCATTAACTGGCACTTAAGGTCTCAGTAACTCAGAGGCATTTGTAGGAGAAAGAATACAAATGTTCCATTACTCACAGTTGTAAACAGATCAACAGCAAACAGCAACTGACTAAAGCAGACAAAATAGGCGGGGGGAGGCACAGAGCCAAGAGGCAGGGCTCTCTTTGAATTGAGAGGCAGGAAGAAAGGATTAGGTAGTGCTGGATAGATTTGACAGTCACCGAAACCCAGAAAGGTCCCTTCCAGCCACACCTCCTGGACAGATTTGACAGTCACCAAAACCCAGAAAGGTCCCTTCCGGCCACACCTACTTTAAACAGCGTGCAAATTTGTAAAATCTCCAACATTAGACAGCGTGCAAATTTGTAAAATCTCCAACACACATAAGGCAGGGGAGACAATGAACCAGACGGATCCTGCTCCATAGCTAAGCTGGACTTTTTTTTTGATCCAGCAGCAGTTTCTTGGAACTGGGCCAGAGTGATTTGTGGTATGGATGGAAAGTTTGCTCTAAAGAAAATTGCTCCCAGCGAATTCACCCTTTCCCAGCATGGTCACATGACCCTTTCTTGCTATCTGTTTGCCCCTTTCATTGATACACAAGTCATTTTAAGATGACAAAAAAAGCAGAACTCCAAAGACCATTTCTGATCTGTGAAAAAGGCTCTAGAAGTGCCATTTAACCAGGGCTCCGGGTTTTCCGTTGATCACGAGGGACGCTGAAAGGAAGGGCCCAGCTTCTTTGGAGATGGGAGGATAAGCGTGAATCCAACCTGTCAACCTGGAGGAAGAGAAGAAGGGAGCTCTCTCGGCTGTGTAAAGCTTTGCCGCAGAGGTGCGTGTGAGCCAGAGCGGGGTAGTGGATAGAGTGACAGACTGGGGCTCAAGAGGCCTGGGTTCAAATCTCTGCTCAGCTGTGGAAGCTCAGTGGAGAGAGTGGCAGTGGGCGATGAGAGCCTCTCCCATCCCTCGGAAATGAAGTTAGTCCAGAAGCTCAGTGGAGAGAGTGGCAGGGGGTGATGAGAGCCTCTCCATCCCTCGGAAATGAAGTTAGTCCAGAATAAATTTTGTAGGTGGACTGAAGCAACCTAGCAATGTCCAGAGTCCTTTGAAGGCTGCCTCTTCGTTGAACGGTTACGTTTCATGCATTAATGCTGGAAGGGTTTGTCTGCTGGTTGACTTTGAAACAAAATTCCTGCCCCCTTTGGTTCTGTCCTCCTTCCTGCTTCCATGCCATCTGAGTCAAGTGGCAGACCAAGCAATGCCACGCAGCATGGCCTTCCCCCTGGCAGAGCGTTGGTGCAAAGCAGGGCGGACAATCTTAGCCCCAATGCAACATTGTGTGGGGATGGGTTTAAATGCAGCTGCTGGCTGTTCTGTGGCTTTGCAACCCCTCCCACCAGGATTTATTTTAAATTCTAGCTTTTGACTTTGGGGTGCCATCCAGGGGATATTGTTTGTCTCAGGAAAGGAAAGTATTTCCAAGGTCGCTCGCTCGCTTGGAGCACAAAGCTGACTTGTGTATTCTTTTGCCTTTAGTTTGATGACCTTGATCCTGGCTGTGCAGAGTTTTTCCTGCAAGAGGAGCGGCTGGTGCAAATGAAGAACAAATATGAACGGCAGTGCAGGGTATTCCTACCTTTTAAGAATTTATTTTAAATGTTTTACTCCACCTTTCTCCTCAAAAGGACCCGCAGGTAAGTGGGGCGGGCGACCAGGCAAGAGGTGGGGGTCATTTGCTATCAAAGTTTATTCAAAGAGATGCCGTTTTTTGCAACAACGAAAACCTTGAGGACGAAAGGGCTTACCCTACCGCAGACATTTTGACCCCCCCTTCAAAAATCTCCTTTGCTTCCACCCCACTGTGACAGTTAGGCTTTGGGCCAAAAAAAGAGTCACATGGCTATCAAAAGAGAGCTTTAAAAAGAAAGCCCTGGCGGGTTTAGTCTCCCCCTGGTCCCTGCCAGCGGATGCCTAGGGGTTATGGCTGCCATGGGGCTGAGGAGCCTTGCGTGTCCATTCTCCAGGAACTCCAAGATCAAGTAGACGAACTGCAGTCTCAGCTGGAGGAGTATCGGGCCCAGGGCAAAGTGGTCCGGCCTTTGCTGAAAAACTCTCTCTACGAGGAGCTCAACGAGGGTGGAGAAGAAGGCGATCAAGGTAAATGATGCCTGCTGTGCAGTTAGGTGTTCCGGGGTGGACTGGAGGGCATGGTCCAACAGTGGGCAGAGTGTGGTCATTTTGTGGTTTAAAAAGTCAAACTACACATCAGCATATAGATGGACCTACACAGCAGAATTAGCTTCTAGTTTCCCAACAGCAGACCACCCCTTAGTTCTCCTCACCTGGCATTTACTGTCTCAAGAACTCAGAGACCCTGGTAAGAGAAAATAATAAAAACTTATATTTACTCACAGCTCTTTGTAGATCAAAACAAACTGCATTCTGTAGAAAAATACTAATTGGTACAGGAACAGAGATTGACTGATTCATTGGTACCGAATCTCTACATAGCTAGACTTGAACTCAGTTAATTCGCAACCTTTGTTATCGATTATGGCCGTAAACCCAATATGAAAGAAATACAGGTTGAATGAAGATTGAATAAATTGCCTAAAGAACTTCAAATGTGCCTGGGGAGGGAGGCATATGACCCCCCCCCATTGAGAATAGCTGTTCTAATGGACTGCCTTGACTTTAAAAAAGGAGGAAAATGTGACTTCTTTAGAGAGGCGTGGCGCTCTTCAAAATTCTGAGTCATTGGCCGGTACTGGATTGATTGACGTGCATCCTAATCCAGAAAGGTTCCTCCCAGCCAAAACCTCTTAAAGGCAGTCTGCTTGGGTTGTAAATTGCAACAGGAGCAACCTTGGGAGACGGTGAAGCTCTCCTGCCATAGGAAAGCTTGTAGGAAATCTTGCCAGGAGAGAAGAGGACCATCAGTCCAGCGAGCAAGGATGGCTTGCTTGATTTGAAGCTTGGGAAAGTTTACATTTTAAGACGACCATTCCCAGCTTGCTCTAATCGTGCAAACCGAAGGCTCTTGGGAGATACTGGTCCAAAAAAAGGAAAATTTCCCCAAACTTTGGCCTGATCAGAGGGAACAGAAGGCCTTGTGGGAGGAAGACGGGCTATTGAGTAGGGGGGCATCCACGAAAGGGAATAGGTCCCCCTCCCGGCTGCAGAAGTTGTGGCAGTGTCTGCAAAAGCTACTGCCTGAAAGCGCTAAGACAGAGTTGTCAGCTGGCTGGCCGGCAGCCTCTTCTTGCTGTTTCCACCACCTTTTTTTGAGGGCTATCCAAGGAATTTTGCAGCCTGCTCCTGCGGGGTTCGAATCGTCTCCTTTGTGCCACAGACGCCTCTCGTTCCAGCCGTGTGTGTTTCTTTGATGACTTCCGTTGCAGAGCCGGCTTCTGAGGACTGCAACCCGCTGAATATGAGCATAGAGGCAGAAATGGTGATCGAGCAGATGAAAGACCAGCACCACCGGGACCTCGGCCACTTGCAACAGGAGCTTGAAAACGCCGTAAGTAGCCTCTGCCGGAACGTGTCATCAAAATAACTCATTTTTTCCCCTTAACAAGCTGATGTTGCGTTTGCTTCCATCGTGTCCTTCCGGAGGAGCAGGAGACACTTTCTTCCAGACCGCTGGGATGGATTTAATCTCACTTGGAAGGAGCGTTAGGGGACCCTCCGTGTCCCCTGGCACGGCAGGTCAGGCTTGCCATTGTTCCAGGAAGCAGTCCCGGAAAGGCAGTTCAGAACAACAGAGAAGATATTTTATAGGTTTACAAGGGGAGGATGGAGAAGAGAAGACAGAAGGGGCAGAGAAGGGAGGACAGCTGAGGTGCTAGGCAAGCCAAAGCAAGCTCCCTTTTGGAGGCTCCGGAATTCCAAAGGCATAAGAAAAAGAATTAGATGATATTTCGTCTTTATAATCTGCCCGTAGGCAAGACATAGGGGAAGAAGGGACAGGACGCTGGGGTGTCTGGGGTAAACCAGGAGGCCTCCCCTGTTGTGTGTGAGGCTTTGCCTGAGAAGCCCTTGCTGGCTAAAGGAAAGCAAGCCAAGCATCCCCATGTCCAGTCGCTTGAAGGGTTTCTCTTGAGTTGAGACTCTTTATTTATTAAAAGTTTTTATCCATGGCTACCCAGCCGAGGAGAACCCGTGAATAAAGATATGGACGCCTAATTGTTGTTATGCACCATTGCGTCGCTTCTTACTCGAGGCAGGTCTAACATGATTTCTGAGGGTCCAGGGAGATGCTTACCACGGCGATCCTCCCTACCCCCAAGTGAATTTCCATGGCTGAGTGGGGATTTGAACCACGTCTCCTGAGTCCTAGTCCAGCAGCCAACCCGCTTCGTCACTTTGGCCTCTCCTACCGACTCTTCAGGGCGCTACATTAAAACATTTGGAAACTTCAAAGTACCGAATTAGAAGATGCAGCCCTTTTGATGCAAAGCAACCACCCCTCGGCCACGCTGCGCAAGGGGCAGGCAAACTGAATTTGCAGGCTGTAATGCTGCTCATCGCGGTTCCTGCAAATCCTCTGAATGTTATGCTTCTCCCCAGGCACATGGTAGCTTTCGCAGCATTTGCTGAGGATCGACAGGGCTACAAACTAGGGTACAGTGGTGCCATAGTGATCACTCCGTTGAGCGATGAAATCGCTTAGCAACGGAGTTTTTGCGATCACAAAAGCGATTGCTTTTCGATGGTTCCTATGGGGTTTTTTCGCCTTGCGATGATCGCGGGGAAGCGATCATGGCAAAGCGACCCTTTTTTAACAGCTGATTGGTGGTTTCAAAATGGCCGCCGGGAAAACAAAATGGCCGCCCACGGTTTTTCCTCGCTTAAGATGCAGCGAAAATGGTGGCGCTATGGAGGATTACTATGGAGGATTTTCGTTTAAATGTGAGTTTTTAAGCCCATGGGAACGCATTAATCGCATTTTAATGCGTTTCTATGGGCTTTTTAATTTCGCTTAGCGATGAAATCGCTTAGCAACGTTTTTTCCAGAACGGATTAACGTCGCTAAGCAAGGCACCACTGTATCTGTGGTTTTTTTGTCTTCCCCAGATGTGCCACTATGAGAAGCAGCTGGAGGCAACCAAGACCCACTATGAGAAGGAGCAAGAGAACCTTCAGCGGAGGTATAGCGAGGAGAGGCGTACGATGGGGCAGCGAGCCGATCGCCTGCAGGCCCAGGTTGCTGAGCTCCAGGGAGAGCTGATGGCCATCCGCCAGGAGTGGACCCTCGAGAAGAGCAACCTGCAGAGGCGCTTGGAGGAGAAAGCCAGCCTTCTGGAGCACCTGGAGGCCCAGCACGAGAGGGAGCTCCAGGCCCGGCTGGAAGGAGCTCAGGAGGATTTTAGCCGTGAACGGTCGGAGTTGATCCAGGCCAAGGCTCAGCTGGAGGAAACAATGAGGACGTTGGCTCAGACTATCCAGGAGGAGAAAGCACAGCTAGAAGAGGGCTTCCAGCAGCAGCTGCAACAGCTGTTGGAGAAGCACAGCCTGGAGAAGGAGCAGCTTCTGCGCGACCTGGCAGAGAAGCATCAGCAGGAACTCCAAGAACGCAGGTGAGCATCTGCTGTTTCCAACGGCTCACCTCGTTGGACCGTTGCTCCGTCTTCCTAAGAATTGAAAGAATTGCATTTCCGCTGTGGTTTACAAGCTCTGGGAAGAAAGAGGGAAAGAACAGGGAGAGAGGAGAGAGCGCTTTTCAAATACAGAGTAGGGACACCCCAGAGTCCAAGACATATAACAATGGACTCAAGCCAGATTTAGGCGGCTCACCTCGTTGAACCGTTGCTCCGTCTTCCTAAGAACTGAAAGAATTGCATTTCCGCTGCGGTTTAGGAGCCCTGGGAAGAAAGACGGAAAGAAATGGGCCTGTTTAGCCTTGAGAAAAGAAGGCGGAGGAGAGAGAGGAGAGAGAGTGCTTCTCAAATACAGAGTAGGGGCACCCCAGAGTCCAAGGCATATAACAATGGACTCAAGCCAGATTTAGGCTGAATACCATGAAAAACCTCTTAATGGTTAGAGCAGTACAACAACGGAAACTCATCACCTTGGGAAGTAGGGAGTGTTCCAGCCGCTGGAGGTAGCCAAGCGCCCATGTTTGAATCACTTGTAGCTTTTCACCACCCAGAATGGAAAGGTGGATTATTCTAGCTTTTGCTGACCCTTGATAGGAGCAGCTTCTTTCAGAGATTCCAAAATTTCAGAAACATCCTGGTCGAGACTAAGAGTCCTAGTCTAGCCGTTCCCCATGTTTTTATTACATTTTCTAGGCACCATAGAAACACTAAGAATCAGCGCCCTATTCCTGTTAAATGCCATCAACCTAAAACCATTGCAAAACGTCTAGCAAGTGGTTTGATTTGAAGTGGTAGCGTAAGTGAATATTTCACATGGTAAGGCGAGCTAGAATTTTCACCTTCTTGCAGCCTGGACCCTGAGAGGACCTTTTTTGTCGAAAAGTTTTGAATTTCTGGTTGAAACTTTTGATACACAGCCAACGTACAGAGACAGAAGGGATCCACTCCAAGTTCCTCAGATAGTCCATCCCTTTCTCATTAACTGGCACTTACAGTCTCAGTCACTCACTCTGAGACACTGGTAGGAGAAAGATTTAAAAGTTTTCATTACTTACAGTTGGGAAAAGCAAAAAGCAAGCTTACACAGTAAACTGAGTCTGAGACATTGGTAGGAGAAAGATTAAAACGTTTTCATTACTTACAGTTGGGAACAGCAAAAAGCAAGCTTACACAGTAAACTGACAACTGACTTCAGCAGACAGAAGAGAGGGAAATAGAACACTTAGCAGAGAGGTGGGGCTGTCTTTGGATTCCGAGGCAGGAAAGGAACAATTGGTTAGTGCTGAATAGATTGACAGTCACCCCAACCCAGAAAGGACCTATAGTTGGCAATGGGAAATATGATGGCAGGAACTCACGCTGGTGTGTGGTTCTTCTCCCATTTTTATGTGCACAGCCATCCTGTATGGTAGGCCGGGTAGAAAGAGAAGCCCCAAGAAGCTTCATGAATAATAGGGAATCTGAAGCTAGGTTTTTCCCTAGTCCATGCCCATTGATGTACTGTAGCTTATTTTTGGGGTAGGGCTTATAAGACGAGCGTCCTGAAAAATCCTACTAGGGCTTATGTTCAAGGAAACAGGATATGATATTATACACCACCCACCCAGGCTTCCCTTTTCCTTCGGAGCTTAGCTGCAGTCCTTATAGTAGCTGACAGAGAAATTGTCTTCCCCAGTTTATCGATCATTGCAAGGTATCCCTGTTGTATCTGAGTGGTTTGGTCTTGAAGGGGTCGTTAAGAAGCCTTAACTTTGCAAACGATCTGCTCCAATCCAGGGCCCTGCCCGTTTGGGCTGTCTCGTTAGCGTATTAGTTTCCAGTCACCCGAACCCAATACAGATCATGTTTTACAGCTTGCTTGCGTTATCACCAAAGGGAAGGAGCAAAAGAAAATGAAAACCGTATGGGTATGGAGTATGTCAGACCATACGGTACAGGTAGGTCTCATGCGGTAAAAAAAACAAGCCTAAGGCGACACCCGAGGTCTCGAAAAGGCTGAGGACAAGAGATGGGCACGAACTGCTTCGTCCCAGTTCGTCAAAGCAACAGTGCAGGCATGAATCAGTTTGTGCCCATCTCTGTGGAGGAGTAGAGCGTTGCGCCATCTGCATTCCTTTGGTTTTCTGTGAGCAGAGATTCCAGTAACGTGTTACATTGACCACGTGTTTAGGACAAAAATGGAAAGTGAATTTAACGGGAGGATGTCTCGGAAAGAGGAGGAATTTGCAGCCGACCGACAGGCACTGGTGAGCAAGTACGGGGAAGCCATCAAAGTCCTTGAGGAGCGCTACCAGCGAGAGATGCGGGAGCTCTCTGAACTTCAGTGTGAGTTGAGGTCCCAGTGGGAATTCGAAAAAGACGAAATGGTCCAGGACGGAGCTGAAGCCCAGGAGAGATGGAAGGAGAAGCTGGAGAAGGAGCGGTTGGTCTCCTCGGCCCTCGTCCAGGAGAAGAAACTTCTGGAGAAGAATTTCAAGGAGCGCATGAACTTGTTGGTGGTAGAAAAGGAGGAGCTGGAGGAGGAACTGCGCGAGGTGAAGAAGCAGGCGGGCGGGCTGCGTGAGAGGCTCGCGCAGATCCAAGCCTGCCATGAGCGGGAGTTGCAGAGACGAGGAGAAGAACGGTCTGCCATGGAGGAAGATCGGGAGTTGGCTCGCCAACAGCTCGGGCGTTTGGAGGCGGCCTTTGCCCAGGAGAGAGAAGAGCTGAATTCCAGGTTGGTGGCGCTGGAGCGTTTGAAAGGCGAAGTGCTCAGCCGAGCAGCCGAAGAGAAGAAAGAATTGAGGTCCAAAGTCTCGAGACTGGAGGGTCGGATCCAGGAGCTTCAGCACAGCTTGCATCACCTGTCCAGACGGCAAAGAAACCTCGCCTGCTTGGAAAAAGGAGAATTAGAAACACAGGGCTGGGATTCGGTCAGCCCTGCCAAACTCGCAGGAACTGGAGAGGGGAGGGATGTTCTCCCAAACCGTGGAGAATTCCAGGTGGCAGGAGGAGGAGGAGGAGGAAGGGAGATGGCCTCCCTCTCTGTAGAGGGTGAGTCCCTGAGAATATCCGGGGGAGAAGAAGCCCCATCCCTGTCTTTCCTTCCCTTGGTTCCAGAAACACTGGCAGACTCTCAGCTCCTGAGTATGACAGAGGAAGACAACCGTCAGACAAAAAAAGGAGGTAGAATCGAAAAGCCGGAGAGGGGTGAAGGTTCTTTATTGGAAATGGAAGGAATAGCAGCTGATGAAAGCATGGAGACTTCCCTCGCTTTGGGGAAGGCCTACGAAGAAATTTGGGAAGAGAACCAAGTCCTCAAAGCCCAGCAGTCTCTCCTTCTGGAGCGGATCAGCCTCCTGGAAGCCGAATGTGACCAAGCAGCTCACGATCGACAAGACATGGCGTCCGAGGTCCAGAAGGAGCTTGAGGAGATCCTGAGGACCATCCCCCGGCCTCTCGTCTTGCCCTGTGGAAGCGACGAGAGTAAGGGAAATTTCCCGTGGGAAACGGCGGATGTTGCGGATGGCCCGACGGGAAGCGAGAGGGTCGCCCCTGACGTTTCGCAGGCTGAATTAAATGTAGAGGAGTTGAGCGCAGGCTCTCTGCCGCTTGAGACGGAGGGCAGGGAAGCCAGCCGGATGGAGGACGGAGCGCTGAGAGAGCGGATGCCAGACCCTTGGCAGGTGAACGATGGCAAGGAGACGCATTCCCAAGGGCAGCCGGATGTCCCGATGTTGCCCGAGGAACTGAAGGTGGAAAACCGGGTCCTGAAAGCGGAGGTGATCAAGCTACTCGAGAGGAACAGCAAACTGGAGGGGTACCTCCCGAGACTGGTCAGCCTGCAATCCCAGCTGGACACAAGAGACCGAGAAAGCCGCGCCTGGAAAGAGGAAAAGCTTCAGCTCTTGGAGAGAACGAGGGAACTCGAAGGCGCCCACGAGCAGCTGGTTCTGGACCACGCCGAGCTGCAGAACGCCAAGCTGGCCTTGCAGAGCAAGCTGGGGAAACTGGAAGAGTTCGTCGCCGGCCTGAAAGCCTCGAAAGTGGGCCGGGGCGGCGAACGCGGCGAGGGCGTCGGCAAGGACGCGGAGGCCGAGAAGAGAGGGCTTCACGAGCTGAACCGGAAGCTGAAGGAGAAGATCGCTGCCTTGCTGAGGCAGAAAGGCACCCACGTGCGGGAGAAGGAGGACTTAAACGTGGCCCTTCGGGGCTTGCAGAGCGCCTACGGCCAGCAGCAGCAGAGGCTGGAGCGCCTGAGGTAACCCCGGGGTCCCCGCCGCACGGCTTCGCTCTGCTTTCTGAAACTAACCGCCTCGCGCTTCACTGACAGCCTCCTAACCACTAGCACTTCTCGCTCTTCTGTTTTAACAAGTAGATTATTAACCTTGTCTGCAAAAAAAACACCCCTTCTGACAGGGACCACTTTGACTTTTCGCATGGGGTTGGCAAGAGGGATGGCTGCTTTCAGGATGGGGTGGGGGATCTATCTAGGAACCATCCACCAATAAGTGGGTGGATAGTTTCGCTCTGGAGATTAACCTTTGCTTGATGGACATGTGCCTGAAGTGGGTTTACTCTGAGATCCTTGTCTAATCTTGTGCCTCTTTCCTTCTTCCCTTTGTTTCTCTGTCTGTAAGGTGCATAATACCAACTAGTAGCAGAGCAGCATCTTTTCACTGATGTCGGTATTATTTTACCCCCACAAAAATCAGGGAGTCAAGCTATAGGTAGCCCATATTCAGCAGAAGGAATTCCTTAAATGCTGAGAAGGTCTGATAGCCACAGCAGGAGCTTTTCACGCCTCCTTTCTGTTGCATGCTAGACTTTCTTGTTTTGTGATTGGCCGTTGAGAGGTAAACACAGGCTTCCTTTGCATGCATGAGTCGCTCAGTCAGGAAGGTGTTGGAATCTGATCTTGAAACATGAAGTGATTTCTAGCTCGTAATCCGTAGCCTATCGTTTGGCCCTTAAGCCTCTAAACGGCTAGATACACTTTGATTGGAATTCCTGCCTTGAGCAGGGAGTCGGACTCGATGGCCTTAGAGCCTCCTTACAATTCTGTTATTCTACGATTCTAAGCATCTAGTCTACAAACCGGGCAGATGGATACTCAGTTTAGAACAGGGTATTTTTGGAGGTGTATCCTGAGTGAGGCCAGAATATTCTTGGAGGTTCCTCAGGGAAGTCACTAACAACAGAAAGGCTACTGTGAAAGCCAGTTTTCTGATCTTCCCAGGAAACGTGTGCCCAAGGGGTGATCTGGATAGATTGTAGGATGCTCGTTGGATCAGAGGTTGGAGAAGTCATTAAACTCTGGTTCCCAGTGGCTAAAGTGAATGGGGGGAGTCATGGGTCAGAAACTGACCTTTTTCAAGCCCTGCTCTTGACTGACACCATGATCAATGGAGTGGCATTGTGAGTTGATGCCAATATCCTTCCCTCCATCATTTTTTTTTAAATGTGTATTTCAAGACTCCCCAAAAGGGTTCTGCAATGGGCAAGCTTATACAGTGGTGCCTCGCATTACGATGTTAATTCTTTCCAGCGAAATCGCTGTAGAACGAAAACATCGTAAAGCAAAAATTAAAAGCCCATAGAAACATATTAAAACCTGTTTAATGCATTCCAATGGGCTTAAAACTCACCGTCCAGCGAAGATCCTCCATAGGGCGACCATTTTCGCTGCCTGTCTTGTGAGGAATCCGTCCCTAAACACAGCGGGGAGCCATTTTATTTACCCGGCGGTCATTTTGAAACTGACGATCAGCTGGAGGAAAATCGTCGTTTTGCAAAGAATCGGTTCCCAAAGCAGGGAACTGATCATCGCAAAGCAAAATTCTCCCATAGGAAACATCGTTTTGCGATCGCAAAAGCGATTGAAAAAAGTTCATTGTAATGCGATTTTGTCGTTAAACAAAGTGATCGTAATGCGAGGCACCACTGTAAAAGAACACTCTTGTGTTCTTGTCAGTCAATCCAAGGCAGTGAGAAGACCGTAAAAACACTGGCCTGGTAAGGGAACTGAGAAATTACTCAGGGATTGAGGCCTGGTTGGGAGTTTGAATCCCCCGAGGTGCCTCCTTGACAGGAGTTGGGCTTTGTTGATTTGTTTGTTTGTTTGTTTGTTTGTTTGTTTGTTTGTTTGTTTGTTTTATTGATTTATACCCCACCTATCTGGACCGATGGACCACTCTAGGCGGCTAGATCCATTCCGGCTCTGCAGTTCTAAGATGATGATTATACCCTTTTCCTCGCAAATCCCTGTAGGGAATGCCATATCTGACTGCATTTCTCTCTTTTTGCACCGGCCCAGATGTGAAGTGGAGCCTCTCAGGGAAGAAAACGCGGCTCTGAAGAACGAAATAGCTTTGCTGAGGGACAAGGAGAAGGAACTGGACGGGTCTCAGGAGGATCTCTGGTGGGTGTCCGTAAAGCTTTGCAGGATTCTCGGGCGGTTGGTGAGAGCCAGGCTGTAAATAGTGTGCAGAAACGAGCCCCCCGGAGTCTTGTTTGGCTCGGAGAGAATGTTTTAAAATCGTCATGATAGAAAAGTGCTCACCATGCCAAAAATTCCTCAGAATTGGCTTAGCCATTGCAAGATCCTTTGGTCGCTCTCTCTCTCTGACTTCTATAGGGCTGTACTCTCGATAGGAGTATTGCAGACACAGTGAACCCAACAAAAAATGTGGGAATATTTGAATCTATATCTGCCTCTGTGTATTCAAATAACAAAACAAGGACAGCAACAGAAATAGAAGGACAGCAACAAACTGAGAACTGCTGGATAGGTCAGTGGTTTTGGCCTCTGGCTGTGGAGCCAGCGGTTGGGAGTTCAATCCCCCCCGCGGGCTTCTTTGACAGGGGCTGGACTAGATGATCCCACAGGGTCCCTTCCAGCTCTGCCATTCTAAGAGGATGATGAAGTTCCATCCACCAACACTGCATCGTAGCAGGAGCTACTTGTGGGGCGGGGGGAATGAAATATATAAATGCCACTTTTCGTCAGGAACAAAGTCCCGAGTATTGTTATCACCCGAGGTGATAAATTTATCCCATAATGTGAAGGAAATGACTCCAGGTGTACAGGTTTTAAAACCATAAAAAGAAATGCAATTCAGATGTATTTGTTTATTTAAAATAAATGTATTTTTGTCCCGCCTTTCTCCTTAAAAAGAACCCAAAGCGGTTTACATCATTATATATAACTACACAGATTCACTCCCACATATCTCTGCCTTTCGTAACAGAGATTTTGAATCACAACCCCTTCCTAAGGTTCCCACACACACACACACACACACAGGGCTGAACCAAGCAATCCATAGGGGTTACACTTCCATGAGTCTCAATAATTAGCAGAGGCACAATCAAAGTAAATAAGGGTGGGAACCATAACAGAGGGGCTGACAGCCTCATTTTGTTCCTGCCCAGGTATTAAGATTTGTAGGAGAGGCTCTTCAAAAAATACATTTACTTCCAGGGATCTCCTTGAGAGGTGTGGGTAAGAGCACGCTTCGCTGCGTTGCTCTGAAATCTTGAAATGTTACTCCTCAGACCTGCCGCCTGCCCCCTTCTCCGCGCTTTTGGAGGGTGGCTGGGGCTTCTTTTTAAATTGGATTTTCAAGTGGTTCGTAATAACCTCATTGTTTGAAGCTAGAGGCCATGGCTGATTTGAATGAGTTTTTTCCTAATATTGTTTTGGCCATCCTCCGTGTCTTTCACACTGCCTTGGTGGTTTTACGGAGTAACAAACACCGGCCACTGTATAACAGCTGTGTAAAAAATTAAAAACAAACACCATGGAAGGATACCAGTTTTGTTTGCTGTGCTTCTTTTAGGCATAAAATAGCGGCTGTACAGAAAGAAAAAGTGGCCATGGAAAAGCTGGCTGATAACTTTAAGAAGCAGGTAAGCCCTTTGGGGTGAGCTTTCCCCTTGCGACTTTGTGATCGGGGTTCTGAATACAGCACAAAGCAAAAGGGAAACCGCTCTGGAAACAAGAACGCCTGAGGGATTCCATCTTTTGCAAATTTTGCATTTTGCAAATTCTCATGCAAATCGACCTGATCCATATCTTGCAGACTAAGCTGCCGATCAGCACTTAGGACGCGTGGAGTTGGCTGGTGTGGGCAAAATAGGAACATGCGGGTTCAGCTAGAATGTGATATGCCATTTGGGTGCAATCGTCACATCGAAATGGCATGTTGGAGCGCAAGCGGCCCTATTTGGTCTAGCTCCTTTCAGCTGGTTCTGATATCGTGAAGTGGCTTATTCTTTGCCTTGTCTGAAATGCCGGTTGAGAAATTGCCCACAGCTGAATGCCCTTCATGGCAAAGCAAATATGTTTAGAAGAAGAAGAAGAAATTCTAACTGATGCAGCACATTTGCAGTGGTCTACTACAGTCTAAAAAATATTCACTTCCTCTGCCCTGCCACCGATGAATAGAGGAAGTGTTCAATTGGCCGATATCCTGAAGTGGCTCGCTTATTAAGCCACTTCATGATATTGGAAATGCAAGTCAGAAGGTTGCCTTCATGGCCAGAAGGCTTACTTTTGGTCCATTTCCAGCGATCACACATGCTGGAAATGGACCAAAGTAGGGCGATCCTACCCATACAAAAGAAAAAGAAAAAAGAACGGGGCCTCAGAAAGGTGTGGGTAGGACTGCTCTGTAGTCTCTTTGGTTTGCTCCAGTGATTACGTCATGTGATTGCTGGGGAACCGAGCAAATGAAACTGTCTTCACGGTGGACCAAACACCAGGCTTGGATGCTCAGTGGGATCACCTCTTCACTTGTCTCCAAATGGGGAGACGGTTCATGCAGAGTTTAAAAAAAAACTGGAGGTGTTGCTTTTCTTTACAGATGTTGGATCATTTGCACATTATCAACATACAATCATAACGTTCCTTTGAGTTGGGAGAAAATATACAGTTGGCTAAATCGCAACGAGGCCGTAACTTTGAGGGATTTGTCACCTCTCTGCAGAACTGGGCAAAATCTCCCAGTAGGGAGAAGTTCCTTATAGGAGGAACTGGGGCAGCTGTCAAAGGATGGAGCATGTTAGCTCGAAAGATATGGGAGTTCATCCCAGCTCTTAGAAGAAGCCACCCAGCCAAAATATACATCCTGAAAATGAGTATTACCTTCTAGCCAGCTCCATGGTGTGACTTGTGATGGGTTACCCTTGAGTGAGTCGCTGCCTTGTGTTCTTCTCTGCGAAATCATAGAGTGGTGGAATCGTAAAATAGTGAAGTTGGAAGGGACCTCTAAGGTCATCTAGCCCAACCCCCAAGAAGATTTGCCAGTGGGGGGGGGGTTGCCTAAGTTTCTGTGTGTGAGAGAAATGTCTGAAAAGAAAGTCTGAGAAGGTGGAGAGACCCACCTTTCAGTTATGTGTTTTAAAACATTCATGGGCATAGCTTTGAATCTTAATTTGTATGTTTTAATTCTGGGGTTCAAATATTTTTATATTCTCCCTTGGCTTCCCTCTGGAGGGAGTAAGACAGGATAGAAATTGAGTAGGTGAAATAAGTAAAATCTGGAGTCTTCAGCCCCCTGAAAGGCCAACGTGTTATATTTAGTGTACATTTTCAGGCGCCGTAGGCCACATTTTCAGATGCAGCTGAAGGTGCCCCTGAGGAAGTGGGGAGCAGCCCATGAAAGCTTGTGTCAGATAAAACATGTCTGCCATGCAACTTCTCGTCTTGTCTTGGCTACCACAGAGCAATGCAACTACTCCTTGGGAGGCGGGTTAGAAATAACACGTTTTCCTTGGTGCTGACTTTTTTTTGCCTGTGTTTCCTCCTCAGGCATCCGAGCTGAAAGCCAGGAATCACCAGCTGGAACTGGAAAACGCCAGGCTGGGCCACAAGAACTCCCAGCCTCAGGCGGATGGGCAGGACCTGAACCAGGAGTTGATGGAGGTGCTTTGACGGAGGGAGAACGAGGTGGGGAAGTGGGGGGGGCAGAAGAAGGGCAGACTTGGGGAGAGAACCAAGCACGAGGACCCTCAATGAATGCTGCTAGCGTTCAGCCTCAGGAGCTGCGAAACCCAGTACCCATTCTTAACCTTTGCCAC